TATAAAACTGTGTATGATAATGCAGAGTAGCCACACCAGTTAATGAGTCTAAGGCCACATTTCCACTGTTCATTTTCATGACACTCCCCTATTTTGCTCACCTCACTTACCTCTAATAAAATTGCTACTTGAGAAAAAAAAAATCTGCATGGCAGTGGGGTACTTATGGAAAGGGTATTATGTTGTTGTCAAATTTTTATAACTCACTGTGATATTCTTTTCTTTTGGTTTTCTGAACTCAGAAGTTCTTAACAACTTAGCTGAAAATGTTGGTGAGTAATCTTGACCCTTTGCCCACCTCATGCTTGATCCCTAAGACTCTCTGCCACGTACTTATCTTTCAGTCAAGATTTCTATTTCTTTGCATTTCAGTTCTGTATTGTGATATAATTCATCTAAGGGGTCTTCCCGTAGCAATAAGTCAATTCTCAGCAGTGAAAGTTCTTTTCTGATTTTTAATTTTTCTGTTTGTGAGTCATTACCATTTTCAGTTCCGGAACATCATTTTTTTTTTTTTTGTGCCTCAATTCTATCCTGCTGAGATTATCCTTCCATGTTTTGTTAAAGTGCTGCCTTGTCTCTTCCACTGAGCAGCTGAAGTCAGAGCTGACTGTAGGATTCATTTAGTTGTACGATCTCACTCAAGTTCCTGAGTCCCCTTACTATGTAGTGATAGCAGACCTCTCACAATGCAAGTTTTGGGCAAACTAAATAAGGTAGACAATGGAATATGTTTTTCATGCTCCTGTCCACTGAACCCAAGTTCTCAAGTCAGGACTCTGAATGTTGAAGTGYCCCACCAAACCAGCGGGCAGTGATTAGTGAAATTATTTAGAATAAAATCTACCTTCATGCCGGAATAAAAAAAAAAAAAAAGAAGTGTCCATTCCTGACCATTTAAAAATCAGAGAGTAACTAAATGGTGAAATGCAAAAGTTCACTAATTGTAGGACAACATCAATTATTTATGATATATGATAGCCAAACTTTCAGAAAACATGCACTATTGAAGCACATGCTTATCTAAGGTAAGTRTGACCACTGATGGGGGAATCACATCACACAGATTTCCTGTGTTTTTAAAGGAAAACTTTGGGGGACTTGATTATCTAAATTCTCAGAAGATGTAACTTTACTCATCAAACTTGATCCTGGCCTTGCTTCATCAGAGCTGACTGGCTTACAAAAGGACAGTCAAATTCATAATGGGACATGTGCAAACAACTAAATGAGTGTATAAGATAGCATGCAAAATAATAACAATGATGATAATGAAATAGCAATATGTGAAAGATAGGGAATGAGGGAGAAAATGTGCCASGTTGCTTCTTGATGGATTCCAGGCACTTGTGAGATCCTCTTGGTCTAGGTCTGGCCCTTGAATTACAAAACACTTCTTTAACATAGTTCATTTCTATGGCATAATTTTCCTTTATCTAAGCTGGCTTGACTATATTTCTACTTCTTTCAAGCAAGCTCAAATTAAGACTCAAACCCAAGTTCATGTTATGGAATATCTGCTCAATTTTACCATGTCTTTTTTGATCACTTTATTTGGACTTCAGACTCAAATAACCAACTTGACCATTTGAAATCTTCATTAGAAATCTAAAAACATGTCAGATTTACCTGTCTGCAACATAATTTTTGTTTTCTTTATATTTTCATATGAACATACTCCTATACCAATTTTCTTCATCTCATTAAATGCACCAAATTTTATCCAGGTGCATAGGTCAGAAATTCAGTTGAAATTCTTGACTCTTCTCTTCATTGTCATATATCACCTCCAACTTTCCTCTATGATAAACATTACTACTTTTTGCTAATATTCAGTTTTCTCTGCTCTGAACATATGAAAGGATTGCATTTGTGTTTTCCTCTGGACAATGGAGTATGAGGGAAAGTTACGTGTATCATTCCTGTGTAGATGCATCCCTACAAAATAATTGATTATCTATTCTTGTCATCTGATAGATGTTATTTTGTATGGCACAGTATCTGTCAGCCTGGGTTCCTAACTAATTCAGAGTCCCCTGCTGACTCCTGAAATACAAACAGTTCAAGTGACAAATAAACCTTTGCCATTTTATGACACTGAGATCCAGGTATCATTTGTAACTGCAGCATAGCCTAGTCTATCTTAACTGAAAATGAACTCTAAATCCTATTTTATAGTGTATCCCAAACCTGATGTTTGTTACCTCCTTTTCTATCTATCATCACTGTGTTACAAAGCACCCCGTCTTTTGCCTGGAATTACAGCAGGAGCCTCTTAATCAGTCTTCCCTTTCCTACTGTCATATCTCTAAAGGCCATTTTCCCAAAACCAGCCAGACTCATTTTTTAACAGTAAAAAGATCATATAAAATTACATTAACTAATTACACTAACTAATTATATAACAACATCAATATACCCGAACCCTCCAAAAACTATGCAACAGGCTCAGAGTAAAATTCAAAGTCTCTCAATGAACCACAAGACCCTATAATTGCACCTCTACCTACGTTTCCTCATTTGTCTCCTGTCATTCTTTTCTCTCTCTGCTCCAATCACAGTGACCATTGCTTGCAAACTATAAGCTCGTTCTCTCATCATTGTTCTTCTCTTTCTGCTTCTTCAGTGTGGAACGTTCTAGGTCAAGACCTCAGTATGACTTGACCTACTCCTTCTTATTTTATGACTCTTTCTTCCAAGAGCCAGTCTTCAGAGCAGTCGTTACATTCTCCACAACCACATCCCTCAATAACTCACAATCTAGTCACCTTGATTTATTTTGTGAAGCACTCTTTGAACTCTCTTATTATTTACTTACTTTGTATTTTTTTATCCTAGACTACAAATATCATAAGGCAGGGATTGTTTGTTTTTCACTGCTCTGTGCCTGGTATGTAAAAAAGTGTCTGATGCTTAGTGGAATTCAATAAATATTTATCAAACGAGTGAATTAATGAATAAACAGCTAAAACAATCCGGATGTCAAAACAAAACTTCAGTGAAGAGACAACTGAATTAGAAGCAGTGCACTTTCACAAGTCCTCTACCTCGTTTGTTTAACAGAGCAAAAAATAAATACAAATACTGCTAGATAATCAATTTGTATAGCTTTTATCTATGATCTACCACTTATAATTCATTTATTCGGTAAACCCTGATGTGTTCAAATTAACTTGTTCCAACTAGCCAGAGCATATTGAAACAAGGAATCTTAAAAGGGAATTAACACAAGATATGTTTAAAGGTTCAATAACTGATCCATATTTCCCAATCTAAATTATCTAAATTTTCTACAATGGATCCAAGAAATGTGCAAGAATATTACACAAAAGAAAAAGAATGAACTCAAAGACAGGGCAGGCAAATGAATTAAGTAGAAAATACTGGGCTAAGAAGTTTCTAGGGAAACTAACTTTCTGAATAACGTAACCAGTACAAATCCATCATTAGAATTTGTCAGTGTGCTGTGAATGTGACCAACGTGTTTACTTTTCATCAGTACCTGAATGAGAAGTGTTTATGCAAATTTCTATCACATACCAAGATGGCATATGTCATCTTACAAAGCCCAGTGGTCCAGCTAAGGAGCATTTGCTGTGACAAAGACATATATTGAAAGATAACTGGTTTTCAATGGAACTGAACTTCTCTACCTTGCCTCAGTAGCATTGTAATGAAGACTAGCTGTTAGAATCATGAGAACTGTGTTAGACTCTTGACTCTGTGACTTTCTACTCTTGAATATATCACTTAACTTTTGATGCTGGATGGAAAAGAGGATAACAATACCTTTCCTAGATGTTTCATAAGGTTGCTGTAAAAATAAAACAACTCATGTCAAAGATGTGTTTTATAAGCTGGATATTTTAGTTATTTGTTTTTATTTTGCTTCTTTGAGGAAACTTAAGGCATCCTCTAAATTGAAGTTGAAATATACATATTTCAAAGTAAGAGAAATAAATAAGAGCAAGCATCAAAATAGATGTTTGGCCATGTGGTCTTTCCTTCCTCTTAAGATTAATAACATTCATATCTGGTTAAGAATTGTTGAGTAGGATAATTAGAAAATCACACTGCTGTTTCTTTAAACACACAGAGGTACAACAACTCTCTCACAAGAAACACCCATACTGTTTTCATACTCGACCACTTGTGAATAATCCATCTCTTAACCAAATAAAAAACAAAATTCACAGTCCATGATAGAAGGAAAAAAAAATCCTTGGTAGTACTTAACATTACTGCCTGAAGAAAAAGGCAAAATCAGAAGGAAAGTGYTCAAGATTGTGCATTGTCTAAAATCTACTTGCTGTTAAATATATCAATGGACAAACCTCTGAAAACTAAAGTTATGTGGACTTTAATTATTTTATTGCTTTATTTGTATAATTCTCTTGTTCATCATTGAATATACCCAAATATCTTATTCAATAATAAAAACAGGAGGCACAAAGAACCCTCTAATGGAAACATTTAGCTTCATTAAAAAAAAACCTGGTTATAACAATTTCATTATCAATTATCCAAGCCTACTCCGATCTCACACTCAGAAATAACTTTAGGAAGATGATTAGTTATAAATAAAGACAGTACAAAATACCCCCAAATTACTGTACTCCAAGAATCCGCTGTCAACAAAGACAATTTGACTCTTCAAGGAAAACAGCACAGGAAAAACCATTTGTTTTTAATGAAATTCATCCTACTCTCTCTTCCACATGTACAACCCACAATACCCGAAAATGTAAAAATGAGATTATGGTGAGAAGAATCTGATGACTTCACCCCTCTTCACCATCAAACTGATCAATATACTTACTTCAGTCAACAGATTACAGGGAAATATTTAATCACCAATGTAACCCAAACGAAGAATGGTCAGCTAAATCTGGCTCAATGCCTAAGACTAGCTGATATTTATTTTACTTAGGTGCTTTTTTTTAATTAAAAAATCAAATGACACCATCAGGAAAGCTCCCTGATTGTGCTGTTACTCTTACCTCGTGGTGATTTTTTGTCAGCCATTCCTTAATCGTGCCAAGGGCAATGAGCGCAGCAGGTTCATTTGGAAAACCTAAGTGAAGAGTCAAATGAAACAAATGAAAAGAAGTGATAAAGGCAACAGAGAGGTCAAAGGTGGTATGAGAATGGAATTCTTTTAAAAAAATAGTATTTAATACAACCAACAAGTACTGAGCAAGGCAGGCCTCAGTAAGTTGTATAGATGTGAAGCCTGCAATTCTACATGGGAGGCATTAAGAGGGATGGTCCTACACAGTCCAGAGTATAAAATTAAAAAAAAAAAAAAAACGCCACAGATAAAGGATTTGACTGTTATTTAAGAACAATATCAATAAAAATATACTTTATAGCTTACAAAGCACTTTCATGTATTTTTTTTCTTACAAGTGGTACTCAGATTAATATTTATTACCCTCCTCATCTTAAAAATCAAGTAAATGTAGCTCAGAGAAAATACGTGGTTGGCCCAGAGTCACAAGGTCACTACTCCATCAATAAACTGTCACAGGCTGGGTAAATAACATGCCAAATAGTCATACCACAGAAAGCAACTATCGATATTCACATAATGTGACTTATGTTACACTCAGTGACATTGGAGATGGTGTTTGAGATTAAGACCACATGAATTAACTGATTGTGGGCTGTGGTTTGTTTGTTTGTTTGTTTGTTTGTTTGTTTGTTTGAAATCAGAGATTGGACCCAGGGGCACTTAACCACTGAGCCACATCCCCAGCTTTTTTTCATTTTTTATTGTGAGACAGGTTCTCTGTAAGTTGCACAGGGCCTTGCTAAGTTGCTGAAGCTGGCTTTGAACTTGTAATCCTCCTGCCTCAGCCTCCAGAGCCACTGGGATAACAGGCATGCACCACCACACCCAGCTGTGAGTTTGATTTTTGAGGACAGAAAATATGTCACACATACACTTCCCTGCAGGGAGTATCAGCATACATTTTCAGAATTTCCAAAAACACATAAGAATGTCTTTTCAGGTATGTCAACTGAACACATTCCTAGACCTGCAGAATCATTAGGCATTCTGCCAACAGAGAAATTTATGAAGGAATAACCGTATACATTTACATAACTTTGGTACAGCAAGAAGAAGAGATAGGAGTGAGTATTTTGTTGGAATTGCTCTCTTTAAGTTCACCACTGGCTCCTTCATCATGGAATCCCATTACCTTGCCATGAGTCTTCAGCCTCTCTGGCATTAGAYGTGCTTTCTTTGTATTTTCATCTCTCAGTTTCTCTTCCCTCTTGGATTTTGCTTATTTAGTTCCTTTTTTTTTTATTAAAGTATAGTTCAGTGTTTCTTATTATGTTTATAAAGTTGTGAACCCATCATTACTCATTCCAGAGTATTTTCATCATCCCTTAATGAAACCCTGTACCCATTAATAGTCATTCCTCAATCCTCCAGCCATCCAGCCCTTGGCATCCATGAATATTTTCTGTCCATGTGAATTTTCAGATTTTCCTTCTGAAATTTTTCAAAATTTCCTTCTCCCTTATATTCTCCTACATATTTGAACACTCTGTCCTCTTTCCTTTTTCAGGAGCATTCATGAAATGTACGTYGTTCCCAACCCCTAACACAGCCTTCTTCTTCATTTATACTCTAGCTATCTAGCTAGTTACAGCAGCATCCAGAAATCACGTCCATGAGGGTGTCTTCTGGAGAGGACATTGTCTGTGTGAATGGAGAGAGAAAGGGAGAGGGAGAGGGAGGGGGGATATCTCTAAGATTTAAAAGACCCAGTTATATTGGAGGGTAAATTCATATACTAATAGCTCATACTGATGTTTTGGATCTTGGCAGACCTCCAGAGAAATGTGTGAGAGAAGAGGAGCAAGAGCATTGTCTCCATTTCCAAAAATGAACACAACTTTCCTGATTTGCATTCTGTGGGCTTTGGTGAAGGGTGCTTTAGGAAAGAAGACAAAAGAAAGCAGGGCCGAGTTTCATCTATTTTAATTTATAGATAAGAGAGAAACACTGGGATATGAAAAATCTGCACAAGTTCTTGAACCTTTGTAAGTTCATCTTGAACATTTGGGATTGTAGACTTGTTATGAATTATTTAATTGTATTCATTTTCCTTAAAGGAATGCCTCAAATATAATACCCCAAATTAGTAAAAAATATTAATTAAACAATTCTTAATTCATTAAACACGTTATTTTTAAAGCCCCCAAGAGGAGAGATACAAACGCTTTAGTGAGTCCYTGTCCTCTAAAATTTTAGCTTAAAGTCTGAAGGAGGAAATACATAAGTAAAATGACAGCCACAAGACAGCATGGCAAAACATTAGGGTGGCAGATGCAGATGACGGAACTAAGAAAAAAAGAGATGTGGGGTTTACTGGGAAATCATCTAAAGTTTGAAAAGAGAGCTGCAATGTGGGAAACAGGGAAACATTGTCTTCAGAAGTAAACAGTGAGCAACATGGAAATGATAAAAAAGGTGAAGGAAAGTGAAGGAGAGAAGACAGGATAAGTACCTGTGGGCTGCAAAGAGGAAGAAGGCCAGGATGAGTATTTGCTGTTAAGGAATTGTTTTAGTGAGCTTTGCATCACTGTGACCAGAATCTGACAAGAACAACTTGGGCTGGGCGTGGTGGCACATGACTGTAGTTCCAGCAGCTTGGGAGGATCATGAGTCTAAAGCCAGCCTCAGCAATAGCAAGGAACTAAGCAACTCTGAGAGACTCTGAATACAAAATAGGGCTAGGGATGTGGCTTCATGGCCAAGTGCCCCTGAGTTAAATTCCTGGTTACCCACTCCCCCAAAAAATAAATTAGAGGAGAAAAAATGTATTTGGGATTCACTGTTTCAGAGGTCTCCATAGATAGCCAAGTCCATTGCTCTGAACCCAAAGGAAGCAGGACATTATTGCCAAAGGGTACAACAAAGGAAAAAGAGCTCATCTCATGGTGGCCAGGAAGAAGAGAAAAGAAAAGGACRAAGGGGCTACAGAGAAGATCAACAYTCCCTGGGCAYGCCAACAGTGACCTACCTCCTCCACTAACATCCCACCTGCCTACTACTTACAGATACACCCAGTCCATCCATTCAAACTAGTATGGACTGATTAGATTACGGTTCTCCCAAGCCATCATTTCACCTCTGAACRTTCCTGCATCAACACAGGAGTTTTTCGGGAATCACATCATATCCCAAACCACAGGAGGAGTTAACCACTAGAGGCTTTTCCAGTGTAGCACTTCCCTAAGTTTAATACCTACATTTGTAGTTACACTTCCCTTGATATACTCCAGGACCCAAAATGAAATGTATATTTTTCCTTAAACACACCACCTCCCTGGCTTCATCTCTCTCTTAGGCACTGCTATATTTAAGAACTTTCCCTGCTGATAACTRAGTCCTAAATACATTGATCCTGTAAAATATTGTACACCTGCCCTTCCTTTCCTCCTTTCCCATTGATCTCAAAGTCCAATGAGCCCTCACCTGCACAACTGTAGGTGCCCCTGAATTCTGCTCTTTTGGTTTGCTTGCCTTCTCTAAGCCACCTAACATACCATTTACAATGATCCCTTCTAAAACATAGCAATCATCATGTTACAATCTCAGACAAACCCACACAGCCTTTGTTGACTCTCCAGCTCCTGAAGAATAAATAAGAACACCTTAGCATGTTAGACTTGCCCATTCCAATGGCCACCATGGGTCTCCCTAGACTTCCTTAGTTTTGTCTGTTTATTCACTTCCCATGAAATTATTCTCCAACTCTTAGGTTTGCTTAATAATTGCTCAAAACATAAAATTAAATGGTTATATAAATCAAATAAATTTTATAATCACATTCAATTGCCATGGCCATCTGCAATAACATTCACCTTTTTGAAGATACAATTCCCTACAGAGAAATTATACAAGTTCTGGCAACGATGGTCAACTCTCAACTATTTGTGACCTCCTGGTCACTCTCTCCCATTTGCCAAAGCCTCTGGCCCAGAGTTGCATTTTTCATCATGACCCCAAGGTAATTTCATATCCCCAGGTGATTTAAATATCTGAGAGAATGATTTAAATATCTAAGAGGATGACCCAGCCAATACTGGCTACCAGTTCCTCAAACTGCTTCTCTTCAACAACCACCTCCTCCCTTTCACCTCAGCCAAATCCCCTAGGAGATCACACTCTGGACCTTGGTGTAACCTTTCAAATCCAAAATTACTAAGTAGAGCTCTCTCAAAACCTGTTTTGTATTCAATTTGTTTGTTCAGCTAGTTTCCAATGAATGCATTTTTACCCAGGAAACCCACTCTATCCCTAGGCCTCTCCCCAAATTAAGAATATTTCTCCCCTGAATGGTCTATTTCCTATCTCTGTTTTGCACATTACTTTTTCTTTTTTTAAAACTATACTTTCGATGTTTTGTTCTTCTAATATGTTATGACCCATTTCCTCTTTCCTGCCATAAGACCTTGCTAATGCCATTTCCTTCCCAAATTGACATTTCTCTCCTCTTCTCCATATTCGCATTCACTTTTACTTATCCTCTACTCAGATATCTCTTCTCCGGGGAACTCTGCTCTGACATTGATGACTTCCTATTTTATGCTTTCACACATCACCTCACTTTTCCCTCACAGATGCATCATTTACAGTTCTACCTTTGTTTATATAAATATGTGATTAATAATCTCAGAGTGAACGCCCTAAGGAAGTGGATAACACATCTGTCTTTGCAAATCACTGGATACCAAAAAAAAAAAAAAATGATCAACAAATAGATGTTGAAATGAGGGAGAAGATTGTGAACTAATGGATCTTTGTATTAACAGCAGAAAGAAAGTCTCAAGAGTGTTCRGCCAGAAAATGGTGAGGAAGAAAGAATGCTGAGAAGAGGCCCAATCAGACTGCTATATCCACAACATCCCCTTTCATCCATGAGAAAAAAATGTTAAGAAAATCATATAAGAAAACAGCTCCTGGAAGGAAGATATACCATAATGAATAAAAGAGGGAAAGAAATACAAGAAAAAAATATTCCTGAAAATCTTCCTTTCAGTGACATGTAT